AAAGATAATTTAGTCTTATATCATCTTGCTACCTAAACTTCTTATAGATGTGCACCGTTTAACTATGGCGGAATAGGCGGTAATGAAAACAACTTCATAAGCCAGTCCACGTGCAGTGAGGCTTGTCCAGGTAAAGATGTCAATTTCTATGAGCAGTAAGGATATCCAAAGATTCATTTCAGTATATCGCAATTACTGTCCTCATGGAATTCCTTTAATTGAAAGCGGACAAGTGAAAGCCTGTGGAATCGATAGAGGATGTCCAGATGGTTTCATATGTCATATGAGCACAGAATTCAATGTGTCTATATGCTGTCAGGTAAGCAATCAGAGTAATTCAGCTTTACTTAAAGACAGCCACAGTTTGAAAATCGTTGCTTTTCCTATGGCAAAGATATCCGTAAGGACTCTGGTCGAACAAGATTTTCAAACAGATCTATTGTAAAGATTAGTCCAAAAGATGATTTAATGTGCAAACAGTGTTTGACCTGCTACGCCACTGTTTGCAGCAGAACTCCCAATTTATATTAAAAATCATGAAGGTTAACACAAGGCACGTTCTAGGATCCTGTGGACTTCTGCTCGGCACCACGGGATCCAGGGCCATGCACCAACTATGAAACCCGTTATGGGTACAACCCAGCAACAGATACTTGCGTTGAATATGAATATGGAGGTTGCGACGGTACGCTGAACAATTTCCGCTCACTTCAAAGGTGTACAGAGATCTGTTGCAAAGAATATAAACGAAAACTTTGAACTTATTTAATTGCTTTGACTTCCTGATATTTACAGTGACTTTCTTGATAAGATATAAGCACCTCGAACGGGTGAGCAAAACCCTTCCAAGCATTCTAGGTTACGAACGAGGTTATTATTTATATGTTTTCTATATAAATTCTATTCATATCCAAGTTTTTAATTCTTTCTCCATGAATCTCTTCAATGTTGTGCGAAGCGGTCATATTGCGTCATATTGCTAAGCACCTTTTAAACTTTGCTCCTCTCCTATCCATTGATCATGTACTTCAATCAAAACTTAAACTTTAGATAGATCTCGTTATTTTGTGCTTTTTCAATGTCTTGCTTGGAATAAAATTCATCACAAATGAAGGACGATTAACTGCCATTTATAAATACAACCAAGAAGTTGAGCAAATTGGCTAAGATACAGACCCGTCAAGTCTGCTTGGCAGAACAACAAATGTAACAAGCACAGAAACAACAGGGGATGATTGTAAAAGTGGAGATAAGTTAAATAAACCAGAAGTAATCTTGTTGAAGCAACTCACTGGAATGATCGATAAGCTTTTGGTAAAAAATATGCCTAAATTTTGAACAAGTGCACAGATATCTAAGACTTACTAACAAGTCAAAGACAAAGCGGTTAAAATATTTCCCTATTGAGTCCATGCTAACAGATTCTTACACCTTGGTGTACATTGGGTCCTAATGACAGACAAGTTGAGCTAGCGTCAGAATGTTGTACACCAAAAATAATTTGGGGCCCACTAGTAAATAATCGGAATAAGAAACATTTTAAGCTATTGAAGCATGTTTGTTTGACATGCGTGCGCATGGAAAACAACTTATCTAAGATGAGTCCATGAATTTCAAACTATTCTTTGCATTAATACCCGTTTCACTATTCACAAGTTACTGGACTTTGATAAAGGCGCAGTATGATACGAGAAAAGCAGCGCAATATATTAAAATGGGCACACT